ACATGAATGTAATCATGGATTACTTGCATTTTACTTTCAGTGTCATGATACTTAAAATAATGGGTGTATCAAAAGCCATCTCTTAAAAGCTATCTATCTATCTATCTATCTATCTATCTATCTATCTATCTATCTATCTATCTATCTATCTATCTATCTATCTATCTATCTATCTATCCTCCCTCTCTCTCCCTCTACCTACGTACTTACCAGGTTATTAAAAGATTATACTAAAGATCATGGTTCACAAACTGGTGTTCTCTAGATGGATTGGACTGTAATTCATATATCATGATCTCAAAATGTACCAGAACAGGGCAGGGCTGTGTTAAACCAGTATCTTTTGCTGTTAAATCAGATACTTTCTCATATGAAAGTATAGCATTGGGACACTAAGTTCTATTGAAGTTATTTAAAATCCTAACATCAACCTAATAGACTGCAAGACTTAGCCTTCATGGTTATGCCTATTTCTCTTTTAAAAAATATCACCATCTAAATATCATGTGAAAGATTGTTCCCTATCTCTGCTGATTAACCTGTCTGACTGAATGAGTCCAAATTTTCATACTACTGGTAGTCCTCAGTAAACGATCACTTGTTCAGTGACTGTTTGAAGCTATGAGGCGGCTGAATGAGGACTGACAACAGGCTCGTTATAGCATTTCTCCAGTCATGTGATCATAATTTGAACACTTGGCAGCCAGCTCACAATTATGACATTTTCAGCATCTCAGTCACATTAATGTCATTTGTGACCTTCATTGCCAGCTTCCAACAAGGAAAGTGAATGGGGAAGCCAGGATGAGGTCACAAATGGCAACTGCATGATTGGGGCATGCTATGACTGCACAGGATTTACCTAACAATGGCAATGCTACAATTACCATCATAAGTTGGCACTTCTGACATGCTTTACGACTGCTTCACTTAGTGACAGAGTTGCAGGCTACAATTAGATTGCTAAGTGAGGACTGCCTATATGTGGAAAACAATTTACCTTTATCTGCTTTCCTTTTGCACTTTGTATACATCTATCAGGTCTCCAAATCACTTTTCTTCTGATAAACCTGGATCATCAAATGCAATTTTTTTTTGTGGATAGGAGAAGGAAGGTGTTTGGGACAAGTTTGCCACCTTGATTTATATATAAAAATAATAAAGGCAGGGTAAAAATAAATTTTAAAAAATGCTAAACTCCCCATTATTCTGGGTGTCTTAGATAATGTTCTCTCTTCTTTTCCCACCATTTTGCTTTCCTTGACAGTTTAGAGAGAGGAAAAATGACTCGAGAGCATTGACAGCAGTGATAGTAGTTTATTAATTGATTAGTCTTATGGCCACATCAAAAGTTAAAATAAAATAAAAAAATATATGATTTAATTCCAGAGTAAGATAAATAAAAGAAAAAACAGTAATAAAATACATACGTGGTAAATACAAAGAATCAGCATTTAGATAAATACATCACATTACAAGAAATCCAATCTGTTTAATATAATGAGTTCTTAGCTCAAAGGCCTTAACTATAAACTTAGCAGTTCTGCTCACAATGTATACATTAAAGCCTGACAGCATTGCTAAAGCCTGAAAAAAAAAGTGTCTTGGGAATATGTACTGTGCTTTTATAATATACTTTTTTTAAAATGACAATATTTTTCAACATGGTACCTTCTAGTATGACCCACAATTCCTATATGATCAGTCAGCCAAAAATGTTACTTGATCAGTGTTTCTCAGTCTTTGCTATGTCAAGGTGCGGGACTTCAACTCCCAGAATTCCCTACTAGACAACATGCTGACTGGGGAATTCTGAGAGCTGAAGTCCACACACATCATGAAGTTACCTTGATTGGGAAACACTGATCTAGACCAGAGATCTCCAATCTTTCTTGGTTGGCGGACCAGAGAGAAAGGGGGAGAAAGCATTTTATTTATGTACGCACACAAATGGGGCCATGAGCACGCATGATGTAAATGGGGCAGTGCTAGCACCCATGTGACACTCGCTAGCACCGAGCCGGTTTTGCCACGTAGGCGCTAGCATCACCCCATTTTCATGCCGTGGTGCCATTTTCATGCCGCATATCGTCTGGTTTGCCCAATTTCGCGCTGCATGCCACCTTGTTTTCATGCTGTGCACCTCCTGGTTTCCCCTCGTTTCTGCGCTGTGCACAACCTCGTTTTCACGCCACGTGCTGCCTGGTTTTTGAACCATGCGCCACCCGGTTTGCCCATTTTTGCACCGTGCGCTGCTCAGTTTTCTCCCATTTTTGCACCTCACACCGCCTAGGTTTTCCCCATTTTTGCACTGGGCACTGCCCGGTTTTCACACCACCCAAAGCCCGGTCCTCCCCTATTTTTGCGCCACATGCCTCCCAGTTTTCGTGCTGTGCACCGCCCTGTTTGTATAGCAGTGGCACCCTATTTTTGCCACACAGCGCCCCGTTTGCATAGTAGCAGCGGAGCTAGCGCGAGTGGGGGTGAGTGCGCACACAGATGTGCACACACTGGCCAGCCTGTTCCACGGCCCAGTGGTCAGTAGGCCATGGCCCAGTAGTGGGCCGCAGACCGCAGGTTGGGGACCCCTGATCTAGACATTAGGAAGACATACAGGTAATACAGTTAAACAGGGAACTCTCAGATCTTCCTGGCAATGCCAACCCAGGAGCACTGCCCTCACCACTTAAGACATCAAGCTGAAAGGCAACCCTGATGCAGAAAGCTATCTCTGAATACATGGCAGCCACCCTTCCTGCTGCTCATTCTGCCTTACTAGCTCATTAACAGTAATTACTTGATTCAAATAATTACCCCTGCAATTAAAATATTCCTAAACAGTGGCTGAGAATTCTCAACAGTGTAAATCAAAATCTATAAATTATTAATTATAAGAATGGATTTGAATGCACCCTTTAAATTTGAGGAACACTGTCTCACATTTAAATTTTTGAAACCAACACTCTCCTTTTTTACTATTACAATACAGGTTATCAAGCTGTGATTTTAAAGCGTACAATAATCCTTATTTAGTGACTGCCTTTGTGACCAGCAACTCAGATGTTAAGCAAAGCGATCACTAAGTGAAACTGTGACTGTGCTTGCAATCTTCGGCTTTCCTTTGCTTTATATGGGCCTCTGAAAGTCATAAATGCGAGGATTGGTTACAATGTTACTTTCTCATCAGCATCCTCATTGTGATTGCTGCCCAAGACAGTCACTAAACGAGGACGGCTTGTATATGGAAGTATTTCATATAAAAATAATGAAAAAATATGATTCCGCTTATGCTGTCATGTGAGTATTCGACTTGTGGTACTGTTCACTAACAGGAACATGAATAATATAACTGCACTTCTGAGCCAATACACTTGGCTATTTAAATGCAGCTGATAATCTAGAATACAAGACCACAGAATAACAAGAGTTGGAAGGGACCTTGGAGGTCTTCTAGTCCAACAGATTTGGAAACACCAGTTAAGACTACCGTGGGGTAACAGAGAAGCATCTCTCCATTGCCTTTTTAAGAGAAGCAGCTGTTAACTTGAAGCGGTTCATAAACTGGGAGGGAGAAAAATGCTTGGGAAGTGGGGTTTGGCTCCCTATCCTTGCCCCTCCTCTTTATCCCCTCTCCCTCTTTTCTAACTCAAGTCCAACTCCTAAATGCTCTTCTATAACCGAACTCTTAATATACAGGTTGGCACAAAACCCACCAATATCGCTGCGTCTGTTAGAACTTAAGCGACGAATCCCTGCGAATCTCTTCGGTGCCGGGTACTAAACAGGCAGCCTTATAAACTTTGCCTGTAAGCCGCGTCTCCTTTTTCCTCCAGCCGGCACGTGTACAGACACGGGCAGGGAGGAGGAGGGTTGAAAAGGAAACAAAAACCTGTTGTGCGTTCGCTGACTGGAGCAAAGGTGGAGGGAAAGAAGCGGCCAGATAGCAGCTACCAAGAGCAAAGGCCGCGGACGGCCACCTTCCCGTGACTCTCGTAGCGGCAGCTTTTCCCCACCACCCCTGCGATCTACGACGGGGTCGGCTCCGTCTGCTGGCTGGCTGGCCTGGCACATTCCCGGGCCTCCCTCCCTCTCTCCCTCCCTCCCTCCTCCGCCTGTGCGCATAAGCAAGTCCGAGCCGCTCAGCCCGAACCAGACACCGGACGGCAAATCCGGTGGCGGGCAGTCCGTCCGTGTGGCGCTCGCCTCTCTCTCTCCCTTCCCGTTCGAGTCCGAGGGGCGGGAAGAAGGAGGCGGAGAGGCCATCTCGTTGGCTCCGAGCGTCCGCCGCTCGCCGCGAGACACGCCTGGGGGGGGGGGAGAAGAGAGAGAGAGAGAGAGAGAGCGCTGGGTGCCCCTCCCGCTCGTCCTCTCTCCTCCTCCTCCTCCTCCTCCTCCCACTCCTTCCAGCAGCCCCGCAAACCGGGACTCAGCTCCAGCGGCAGAGTGCGAGCGTGAGAGAAAAATACTGGGAAGCGGGGAGGAGGAGTGAGGAAAAAACAGCGGCGGCGGAGGGAAGGTGAAGGAAGGAAGGAAGGAAGGACACCCGCGCAGACTGGGCTGCTCTGAAGAGACGCCGGGGGAGGGGAGAGAAAAGTTTACACCCTCGGTAGCTGCGCTCTCGCTCGCTCGCTCGCTCGCTCTCCCTCCCATCCACCTCTTCCCGCGGCGGCGGCGGCGGCGGAGCTGCAGGCGCAGACGGGAGTTTTTTTACCTGGAATAAGTTGGGGGATTTCCGCCCTCTTTTTATTTTTTTCCTCCAAATAAGAATTTGAAACCTCGGCGAGATCCGATGCTCGAGCCTTATCTCCCCGACGCCTTTCAGCCGCGGTCGGCGATGTGACAGCCGGGGAAGACCCTTCCGCCGGCCCTCCTTGCAGAGAGCTGTCACCGAGGAAGGTTCAACCAAGTGGGACTTTCTCCGCTTCCAGCTGAGCGGCCCTGGATCGCCTGAGAAGAAAGCTAGGAGGATTGCTTTTTGGTTTTTTTTATTTTTTCAGACGCCGCTTCGGAAAATCTCTAGCGAGCTCCTTGGAGGGTTGGTCCGTCTCCTTCGGGATTTAAGCCAGATTTTCTCCGGATTCCACCTTCTTCGTTGCTACTCTTCCCTGATCGGCCGCTTTCTTGGAGCGGACTCGGAGGACTCGCTCCTCCGGCCATTGCCAAGTCGAAACGGAGGTAGAAAAATGAAGGTGAGTCCGGGGAGGGGAGAGAAAAAACCCCACACGCCGCACCATCTTTTTTGACCGGAGTCCCAAGGCGGACAGGTAAAGAGGCCGAGTGACCGAGGGAGAGTTTTTCTGGAGAGGCATTAAAATGTCATTGCACGGAGAATAAAAGAAGGGTTACTAGGGAGCCGTAGTCAGACGAAGTGCCTCTCTGAGCCAAAACATGCAGAAGAGGCACTTCCAGGTCATTGCCAGTCCTCGCTTAATCCAATTTAAAACTTAGCGGGCGGGGAGGGGAAATAGAGGGAAAGAGAAAGGCATCGCAAGAGCATTTCGGCCTTTAGGGCAACGGAGCTAAAGTAGCTCGGTGTTCAGGTGATCCAGGCTCCAAAAAAAACGCGGATCGATATGTATTAAAAGGCTAAAAACATTAAGGACACGTGACATCTCAGAGAGTCAATCTATATTTTCGAGTAGCTGGATCCCCCCTTTTGCAAGAAAACAGCCTGGGAGGAGGCGGGTTGGGTTTTTTTTTTTTTCCCCTTAAAAAAAATCGCTAAGCACGTTTTGCTTTTGGAAAAAGTGTTATTTTGGAGTGATTTCTGTCTCGCGTGCCATCGGTGGACTTCTGCAGCTTGGCTTGCGTCGAATTTCATTAAACTTTGTTTCTCTAGGCTATTTTATTTTGGGGGCAGGGGGAGTTGGGCATTTTTATCGAGGGAAACTGGATCGAAAAGGGTGTGTACCCAAACGGAAGGGAGGGGGGAAAGAGCTGTCTCCTGGCGGAAGGAGGGGGGGAATGTTAACACCGCTGCCGTTTGGGTGGGGTGTCAAAAATTTGGGGGTGTGTGGAGTTGAGCAGTTTTCCATGAAGCCTGAAAACATGCGGCATTTCTGCCCGTCCAGCAAAAGGAGGGAGAGGATGTCATTGTCTTTCTAAAATATATTTAGAAACTCTGGCCGCAAAGATGGAGCATGTGATGAAATGTTTCCAAAACCTGCTAAAGGGCTAGAGTTTGGGAGTTAATTTTTATGGCCCTTACTTATCAGTCTGTGCAACTTTAAAAAAAAAAAATCCAAAGGAGCAGTTGGCAAAGAATCTACTAGACGCAATAAAATCCAATCTGAGAACTAGAGGGCAAGTCCTTGAGCCTCTTAATAAGGTTTCTGTTTGCTTTTGGGATTTTTTTTTTCTTTTTGAGGGTGGGGGGGGGAGAAGCTGCTTATTGCTCTGACAAGCTGGATTTGCTACCTTGTAAGCGTGGCGATTTTTCACTGCATGAGATGAAAACGTGCGTGTCCTTGCTTCCCCGAGTGGGTTTAAGGGCAGATGAGAGGGGGGCTCCCCAGGCGCTTACCTTGATAGAGGTGGAGAGCATGTCCCGAGAGGCGGGCAGGAGTGACTTGAGAAGCGAACCCTCCCAATTCGGATCTTAGCTTTTTTTTTTTCTTCTTTTTTTTTTTAAGAGGAAACGGTTAGAGGGATGCAATTTAGGAAGGGCTGGCAACTTGAGGGCGTGGGATCTAGTTCTAACTCTCATTCAGAGGCCGAACTGAGCGAGTTTCCCTTCCCTGGAAGCTACCTTTATCCCTCTCTTGTTGTTGCTATCGTGCAAGTTGTTAGCGTTGCAAAAGATCAATTCCTAAATCTCACTTTTCCTGGCATCGGTAGGGAGGCGGAGGGAATTTGCAGGGAGACGACGCGAGCCGCTCTGCTACGGAGACTCTACAGCTTTAAGAGGAGATACATTTTCTAGCTTGTGTCGCAGCAACTTTGTATCAGTCATGTCGCCTGCCGGGTGACTGACAAAAAGGCTTGTCCAATGGAAGTTCGCTACGGACTCCGATATCGAGGCTCCGCTCTTCGCGTCGGCCAATAGGGGAGAGAGAGAGGAGGAATCTCATCTGAACTTTATCTGAGCATGTGACATGTTTTTAAAAGGACTTGGCACCTTAGCGGTCTCCCCCCCCCCCCGGCCGCCTTTCCCTTTGCCCTGCACGGCGTCGGTGGACCAGGCAAATTTGAAATTAAGGATCCGTTGTGAAGAATAAATTGGTTCTCGTTCCTTTTTCGGTTGCGAGCTTTGGTATTTTTCTTCGTGGATGTGGACTTTAGGTGGATGTCACTTGGAGGAGAGGTGAGAGAGAGCAGTCGGAGGCAGAGAGCAGATATATTTCTAGCGTACTGAGAAAATTCCTTCTGATTGTTGAAACTGTAGCCAGGGGGGGGTCATCTACAAGCCGAACAAATCGTCTCAAGGTGAAAGAGTTGGAAATGAAGAGAGGGTGGCGTGAGATATTTATACCTGTCTCAGAACTGGGCAATTTTTTTGCATCAGGTGTTCTTCCAGACTGTCTAATTTTAACTCCTGGCAGCTATTCTGCAGATTCCCTATTATGAGATCCTCATGAGAAAAGTATCTCCCATAATAGCCTATTTTAGAAAAGTTGGATTTTCAGCTAAAATGCAAGCATCAGAATAGGTGTTTGGAAAGCTAAGAATGTGTCAGATGGTAGTCCACGCACCCAGAACTCAAGGCAGAAACCACTGGTTTTAGGATGCTTTTGTCTGGGTGTGAAGCTGTCAAGTAATGCTGGATGGACTTTATGCTTCTTTAGGAAATAGGTTATGTTGGGAGCTATGTTATTACTTGTTTAAATTTATTAGTTTCCCAACTCCACTGGAATTCAGGCAGAGTTAATTTTAAAATTATAGAGGATAGTAGAAGGTGAGTTAGCATCCCCAGCCAGTGGTGCAAAATAAAGACTAGCATATATTCCATGAATTTGTAAGTTTCATGCGCTCCTATGCAGATTGTAATTCTTTTACAGCTGCATGCACATTTTCCAAATTTCAAAATAATATTTGAATAGCTTTTGTGATTTCAGTTTAAGTAAACTGGAAATAGCTTGAAAACTGTAGGATTCATTCCAAATGAATTTATGTGCAGAAACGTATTGTGAAACATTTTTAATGAATTTATTAGATGTATAATCTACCCTTCTTTCAAGATGCAAAGGCAGCATGCACCGCACATTTAAAAATTCTAATTTGGTAAGCCTGTTAAGCTGGCATTGTATTTTGAACCTTAGTTTAGCAATTGAATTTGCATTATTTTATCATACCAGTAGATAGCATTCAGGATCTATTTGCAAATGCATCCATAGATATGCCAGATGATGTTATGGGATATTGTTTTGGATAATTATGCAATTTATGGATTTTTCAAAATGAAGAAACAGTGATTAAGTTGTCTGAACTGTTTCAATGCTTGTAGATTACTGCAAAAAAGTGTTTCAATTTTGGTCATTTATATTGTTAAAATCAAATGACTCAATGGAATAATAAAAAATGTATGTATAGTTTCTTTCTTGGAAACCTGACATTAACTCATATTTGTGTGATCTACCTAATAACCTAGTATTAATTTGATACAGGTCTATGTATAAATCACCTACACAGGCCATTTTTATTGTTCATTGATCTCAAAATGCTACATTGGCATGGGGTGGAGAAGGTAGTGCTCAGTATGCTAGGACTTGAGTTCAGTATTATCAGTACCTGAATTACAGAAGACCACAAAGAATTGCGTTGGTATGGCTAGTAATGAAATTCACTGGATGACCTGATGGCAGGTTATTTTCAGCCTTTGGGTTAGGCATGTTCTAAGGTAGTGGGGTGATCACATAACTAGGTTGTCCTAAACTCTGTGAGAAAGCATTGCAATATTTAGATTGCTGAGGTAGACTTCCATGTTGTAACGCACTGGACGCTTCCAACTAAATGTTTTAGAGCATATTACAAATACATACTCTTTAGTTTAAATTAAGATATTTGTATTATAGACCAGATAAAAGTCTGCATGTTTCATGAGATCAGAATTCCTGATATTAGGAGTTTTTTGTTCTAAAATAAGAGCCCTGCTAATGCTTTAGTTTTGTTTGGGTGGGAAAAAAAACAAAACAGAAGGATACATTGATGCCTTTGCCTGATTAAACTAAAATTATCAGTAGCAAGCGCACAGAGAAATAAATACTATAAAATAAAAAAAATTAATGAAATGTTTCATTACATTAATTCTTAACTCTTTTTTTCTAATATCCTGTGTAATATTTTTTTTAACTCCAGGAGAAATTGATGATGTCATACAAATTTGATAGAGATATATGCCATGATTTTCTACAAATGGCTTAATGTGAGTGAATAAGTTTGTTACTAGTAATTTATGTGCATATTGCTTTACATGCTTTGCCATCACTGGGTTTTGTAAGGTTACAGATATGTCTTTCTTGTTTACAATTTTTCAAAAAACATATTTATAGTCATATAAAGATGTCTTTATTTGCTGGAGATAGAATGGTGTATTTATCAGATTTGGGCAATCATATGACTATGAAAACTGTTTTTCAATGTGTTTGTATTTAAGTGAATAATTTCTATTACTTCACATAATTAAGAGTGATATTAAAGAGAAAAAACTGAATTAAATAACTAGAAGAGCATGTGATCTTTAGTATGTCAAAGACAACTAAGAGAAAACAAATTAATGCTTGCAGGAGAAAGTGTGAATTTGGCAAAATGAAAAGTCCATAGAAAATATCCAAATAGGAATATAAAAGTAAATAGTTCACTTGAATTGCATATCTTTTGGATAACTATGTCTTAAAGATTTATTATTAATAAATATGTGATTTTATTAATATTAGAATATTGTAAATTCTTTTTCAATGTTATTACTTCAATTCCCTTGAACAACAGCGATATATCTTTTTATATAGATATTTTTTGCTGCTCAACTGGAAAATGATATACCAGTTTTCAGTTGCAATCCGATAGAAATAAAATCCATTGAATTAATATAGTTTATTTCTGGATTTTGTAGTATAGAAAAGTTCCTTAATTATGTGAAGAATAGAGACTAGGCTGTTATAAACTTACTTTCTGTACTACATTTGCTTAGTGTGATGTATATATGTATGTGTTTTGTAGTAGTCTTTCCAATCTGGCACTTTTTCATGTCGTTGGATATTACTTCCACAGTTTCCTAATTGTTTTGAAAAACAATAATAAATAACAAACCTCAATCAACAAAGGGAGAATTATTGCAGAAATAAGCACAGAATAATGCCGCATGGTTCAAACAAAAATTTATCCCATAAGAATTCTTACTAAACATTGTGGTACAGGTAGTCCTTGACTTACAACAGTTCATCTAGTGACCAAGTTACAACAGCATTGAAAAAATGACTTATGACTGTTTTTCACACTTACAACCATTGCAGCACCCCCGTTGTCACATGATCAAAATTGGGATGCTTGCAATTCTAGTTTCTATTTATGACAGTTGCAGTGTCCTGGAGTCATGTGATCACCTTTTGCGACCTTCTGACAAGCAAAGTCAATGGGGAAGCCAGATTCACTTAACAACCATGTTGCTAATTTAAGAGCTGCAGCGATTCACTTAACAACTGCAAGAAATCATAAAATGGGGCAAATTCACTTAACAGCTGTCTCACTTAGCAACAGAAATTTTGGGCTCAATTATGATCATAAGTCAAATATTGCCTGTACTTTTCCTGATTAATGCGAGTTCTATGGTTACTTCTTAAAGCTCACCAAAAATTTAAATATCAGATGGGTTAAAAAGATTTAAAAAGTTAGCAATTGATTGATAAACAGCAGAAGCTCAGTTTAGTTTTGATAACTATGTACATATTTGGCTATAGTAATCATAGGCAACAAGGGCTCATTTCCCAAAATATGTTTTCCATATGTTTGCTGTAATACAGAGTGCATGGCTGATCACAGTCAATTTGTATTCTGCTTTAATTGTCAGCAGTTTGAAAGTGAACTCTATGAAAGTGTGCTTTGTTTAAACCAGATTTAAGGCTCAATTGTATTAAAATGTAAATCTACATCTTGCTATATTTACATATCTTGCTTTTTCAAATCTCTATGCTAACGTTACAGCTATCCCTAATGGAGCTCCACTCCTTGACTAATGCTCCTTAATTAAAATAAAATTTGTGTGAAAACTAATGTTTATAGAGGATCAAATCGCTTTGGCCTACAGAAGGCTTTACAGTATCTTCTCAAGTGAATATAGTTCAATAATTTGAGTTCTTAAGACTGTTGATAGCACTATCACTGCTTTCAAAGGCAAATATACATACAAGCATTGTGCCTTAGATATGGAAGGCCATGAATTTGAAGGCATAGGGTTAATTGTGTTGCCCCACTGCCTGCTGAGTTTAGAAGTTTGTTAGGATGTCTACATAGACATTTAGATAAGAATTTAGGATCCTTCAGAAAGTAAACTTTTTGATATATATACTGAAAGTCAGATTGATAAAAGTGTTAAAGCACTTACACAGGGAGTAGTAATTTGGGCATATTCTGGGAGTAATGGAACAAATTGTAATTGCTTGTTTTTGTGATTTGAGGATCCAGTTTGGGACAGTTGCTGCTGCTGCTGTTGAGACACTTGTGTAAAACAGGGGAATTATTTTGTTGTTTTGGGATAATATCATTATTTGAGGATGAGAAAAGGGCAGCTTGGTCAACAGTAAAGGATTTCACTATAAGGTGTGGGACTGTTTTACTGCTAAATTATATTCAAATTATTAGCATATCTATAGTAAAATACTAAATTCAGAAAATGTTTCATTGACATGTACAGTGTTGTACTAAAGGGAGTAATGTAGCACTCTAAGTTAGTGGTAGCATTTTCATCTATCTATCTATCTATCTATCTATCTATCTATCTATCTATCTATCTATCTATCTATCTATCTATCTATCTATTTATCTATCTGGATGGAAGATGATAGCTAGCTAGCTAGCTAGCTAGCTAGCTAGCTAGCTATCATCTTCCATCCAGATAGATAAACAGACAGACAGATTCCAAAACACTTTTCTCCAGCATACAAGTGGTGGTTCTTTGGTGAATATAGAAAAGAAACTGGCTCTTTTAAATGATATAGTATATGTTAAATGTTTTACTTGTTTAAAATAGGAAACTGAGTCTTTGGAAATTCTATTAAACTTTAAAGGAAATTCTTTATAGGACATTCTGGGGTGTCCAGAATTGGGATGAATCATATATGTATGTAAAATAGTCAATCTGCTCAACCAAAATAACAATGTTATAAATGTTTAATTAATTAATATCTCATGTATCTAGACCACCCATCTCCCTCAAGGAGGGGCACTGCCTAGGGCACATAAAGTTAGCTTTAAAATATTAAAATTAATTTAAAATTAAAAATTTTAGAATTATGAGATATAAAATTTCAAAGAAATAAAAAAAACCAATATGGCCATTTAACTTTGGTTAATAAAGATGGAGAGCCAATGGCAGAGCCAATTTTGAGCCTTTCATGGAAGACCAGAAGAGTGGGGACCCTCTTAACCTCTGGAGGAAGAATGATCCATAAGGAGGGGGCAGTGGCAGAGAAGGCTCTCTTCCTAGACCCTGCCAGTTAAAATTCTTTGACTGACAGGATCTGCAGCATACCTTCCTCGCCTGATTGAGTGAATACAAACATTTCATAAACACAGCTGTGCAATTTTATAAAATAATAATTTTCTCTGTAGGGCTCCAAATAAGATGAATGTTATGTTTATTTTGTATACTATTGAGCAACATTAACATTGATATATACTTTTAAGGGTTGTTATTTTGTTAAGAAATCATTTGCATTGGAAATCTTTATTATAAGATTCTTAAAATGACCCACATTGGGGGGGTAGATTATGGAGGAAAGAGAATCTTACTATGTGGGAAATATTAAAATGTAATACTCATGAGCAATGTACATTTGAATACAACTAAATCTCATCCTTTACTAAAAGAAGCACCAAACTTACTAATAAAAATAAAATGTACTCTGAAGTCATTTTATTTACTGTCAGTAGCATAGAAAATGAAACAACTGTACAAAATTTACATTTTTTTGGCTTATAATTTTTTTAAAATTCCATTATCACAAGATAATAAATTTTGTTTTTAACTGTTAGCCATTAAATGAGATCAAAAACAGCATAGTCAGATGTTCATCTATCTGAAATAATTTTCACTATGTTCAGTAAGTTTTACTCTTACTTAATCGTGTCTAGGAATGCAGCCACCATTCTTTAATATGCAAGAAAATTGATATATGCATAAAATTTATATATAATTTTGATGTTTTCTTTTGTTAGATATGGAGACCAAAGGCTATCGCAGTTATTCAGAAAGCCTAGATATGGAGAGGCGCTGGAGTCAAGGTTCACAATCTATGGAGTACACTCCTAAAGGAGCAGAAGAACAGTCCGAGGAGAGTAATAACTACATGGAGATCGTAAATGTGAGCTGTGTTTCTGGCACATTTCCAAATACCAGTTCTCAAGGAAGCAACAAAGAAAAACCTGAGCTAATTTCTTGTCTTCAGCCAGATCATAGTCAGCCGGCTATTTTACCCTCTGATATAAAAATTGAACTAGACTCCAAGGAACTTTCTGCAACAGTAGCTGAATCAATGGGTTTATACATGGATTCTGTAAGAGATGCTGATTTTACCTATGATCAGCAAAGTCAGCAAGGAAGCTTAACTTCTGCAAAGATGTATCAAAATGTCGAGCAATTAGTAAAACTATATAAGGAGAATGGCCATCATACCTCTCCCTTGAACACCCCAAATAGGTGCTTGAGACCTCTAATATCAGACTGTGCAAGCTCTGTGAATGGTGGTATTGTACCATCTATCACCAAAAGTCCTAGAGTGTGTCAAGAGAAGAATTCTTCTGATTGTAGTCCTCAAAGCATGACTCCTTCAGTATGCAGCCCTCCTAGAATTAGTTCTGTATCATCAACTACTCCTACTAACTTTGCAAATTTCACTGTAAATAGTCCAGTAAACCAGGGAACACCTTTGCCATGTTCACCTAACATTGAAAATCGAGGTTCAATGTTACATAGTCCTCCACATACTAGCAATGTGGGATCTCCTCTTTCTAGTCCTATAAGTAGCATGAAATCACCTATTTCAAGCCCTCCTAGTCATTGTAGTGTGAAATCTCCAGTTTCAAGTCCTAATAACATAACAATGAGATCCTCAGTATCCAGTCCTGCAAATATGAACTCAAGGTGCTCTATTGCCAGCCCTTCCAATGCCAATAATAGATCCACTCTTTCTAGTCCCGCAGTAAGCACTGTGGGATCTTCAATGTGTAGTCCTGTAAATGGTGTAGTGACCTTTCCGGCATCTAGTACATCGGTTGGACTTGGTGCAACTCAAGACATGGTTCCTAGTCCAGATTCAAAAGAGAAGAAAGGTGCTTCTGAAATCATATTTCCTAAAATAGAGCAAATAGAAAATGCCATCCCTATCAGTGAAGTAGCTAATCAGATGACTGTTGTTCAGTTTATAAAACCTGAACCAGAAGGGATATTTAGTAGCTCATGTCTTGGAGAAAATAACAAAATGAATTCTGATTCCCCATTTTTAGTATCAATAAAGCAAGAATCAGCTAAACATTCTTGTTCTGGTGCTTCTTTTAAAGGAAATCATACCGCAAATCCCTTTCCATTTATGGATGGATCATATTTTTCTTTCATGGATGATAAAGACTATTATTCTCTTTCTGGGATTTTAGGACCACCTGTTTCATCATTTGATGGCACATGTGAAACTAGTGTATTTCCAAATTCAGGTCTATCTATAGGAATTAAACAGGAGCCTGAAGAAAACAATTATTACCAAGAAAGTACTCTACCTTCCTCTGCCATTGTTGGAGTGAATTCTGGTGGACAGTCATTTCACTATAGGATTGGTGCTCAAGGCAGAATAGCTTTATCACGGCCTATTGGTAGAGAGCAGTCTTTTCAGCATATGAGCTCATTTCCTCTAGTGGAGTCATGGAAATCACATTCTGAGTTGACTGGCAGAAGAAATGATGGGTATCCAGTTCTAGAATACATTCCAGAAAATGTGTCAAGGTAGGCTTGCTTTATTACTGAATATCTAAAGAGAAAAAAAAACATTTGCTGTAAGATTGTTTTTGATGTTAATGTTGTTTTTGATGTTTGTTGTTAATGATGTTTTTCAGAACTGACTATTTATATAAATTACAATATGTATTATTTAAATGTTGGACAGTTTACCTTATAAATATGCTATATTTTATTGTTGGGCATTATGTTTAGCTTTATGGTTTCCAAGCTTTCACTTTGTTTATTTATTCAATTAAAACACATGTATGCTGCCTACCTTATAAGACTTTGGGCAGCTTATGAAGAAAACAGGATTTCTAGTTATGTAGATAACCATATTATTGAACAGGTTTGTGGTCCCTCATTATGCCAAGGTTTACTAGCATCGCTACATACAGGCAGCTTCTCACCCTAGTAGAGATTCTAAAATTAATTTGAAATATTTTTACAATTTAAAAATTGTTTGACATGTTATGAGAGCACCAGATTTCTCAAGATTTTAGTAACCTTGCATGATGTCTGCTGACTTTGTTAGATTATAAAGACTGCCCTCTGCTATGACAGACCCTCATGGGTGGTAAAACATAGTCCGGGCCAGTGGATGCTGAATATTGATATTGAAAAGAAATTCTCTAAATTGTCCAAGTCATACTGCATAATTTTTAAAAATCAATAATTGTTTTCATAATTGTTTTGCGGTGGTACTGCATAATATTTCCCTGGCTAAATTTTAAAATGAGTTGCAAAACTTTCAGCAACATTATTTCCCTATTTTTACTGCAAGGATTGTTACTAAGACATTGTTTCAAATGTCTTCTGAAAATAAAAAGATAGATTAATAGCTTTAATTAAGGACTGTAGCATAGAACAGTTTTGCCCATTAACATTATGTGATTATTGTTTTCATATTAAAAAATCATTATATGTAAGAAACTAGAGCCATAACCTGGTTTAATCAAGGCTTTCTCTCCTAATTTCTATGAAACCTTTTTACAATCATAATAGTGGTACAAAGATCATTTCTTTTGTATTATACTACAGGAGTGACTACTAATAACTTATTTTGATGTATTTCCCATTTCCAAAGACATGATAGCAAAGATCTCTCCCTTGTATTGCTGTTCCTGGCATTTTCTTTACTCTCCAGTGGTTGGTTTTCTTTTCTGTTACCTTGTTAGATTTTCTCCCCCCACCCCCAGTTTTCATTAATATGTTTCTCACTGGAGCCTTTATTATCCTATGTCCATTGACATGTGAAACATCAATACATACAGTTTAATGTTGATGTCATACTTAAAATGAAAAGACAATTTGAGACAATAGAGAAGAACAGACCATGTTCAGTGTTGAAAAATGCTTTTTTACTCCTTATAGTGCTCTTAATTGCCAACTGATTTCTTCACTCAATGAGATTCTATATACTTCACAAAGTTTCTGGACAGTTTTATGAGAGAGTGATTTAAAATAGAAAGGGGAAAGGATCACATACACTTTTTCATACTGGTAATTTCTACCTGAAATTCCTCCTTTCCAAATCAACTTCTTATTAACAAATGGAAATAGCACAATTTCCACTACTTTATTTGAGCACAATGTGCAATTAGAGTATTTCAGATAATTAATTATAGTTTTATCCTATTATTCTTTACCAGTACTGATTTATAATCCTACTTTTAGAGTTCACCTTTTAATTTTTTTCACTATTGCATTCATTACAGTTACTTCTATCCTCTCTTAGTTGAAGAATGCTCATTTTTGGAAATCTAATTTAATAAATTAAAAAAAACCCTGTTATAGCCTTCAATGTTGGTACAGAGAGAGAAAATACATTTAGAACTGAGTATCTTTTGATTCCTTTTTCCTTCTACATATATCTAATTTTGTAATTATTTCATGTTATTAAAGCTTTCGGAATCCTATTCTTATATTTCTGCTTCTACTAATATTTTAACACTTTTCTCTTTGAAATTTTTTGAAAAACTAAAGATTTTATAAAGATTTTTTCTTTTTCATGAGCTCTACTATAATATGTGCTTTGTATATTTTATTATTTTATTATACATATTATTTTTTTCTTTTATCTATTTATAATGAAAAATATATTATTAGATCACTTTACTATTAAGTTATGTTATACTGATAGAATGGATCTTTCGCATCTTTTATAACGTAAAACAGACAAAAAAAACCACCCCTAAACATGAGAGCATTTCAAGTGACAAATGTAGTTTTATTCTTAATTTATTTTATCCTTCTCCTCATAGAGTGCATGAAGCATATACTATTTTTTCTTTGAGGAAGACATTCTTATTAATGTAGTCACTGGTTTCTATGATGCATTTCAGAAATTTCTGACTACTAGTTATTCTATCAAATTGTTTCCCAGTACATTAGAATGAATGTCTGAATGAAATTATAACTAGGATTTTGCCATTTTATACTATTATTACTATTATGTAGCAGAGTGAAATGAACCTTTTCTATATGTTATACTTCTATATCATAAGATTGAAAAGTTTGTCCAAAATTTACCTCATTATTTTTGTTCTTTGTGGTAACGTGCAATTGGACAGCACGGAGTATTCAGATTAAATTATTTTTGTTAGAATGGGATTATGTGTACTGGCTTTTTGGTACAATAATGGTATACAGATACTTAGTTACTGCTTAATTTAGTGACTGTTCAAAGTTACAACAATGATGAAAAAATTACAACCAGTCCTCACATTCATTACTTTCACAAGTCTGTAAAGCAAAGGAAAGCTGAAATAAGATCATAAGTAGAGTTGCAGTTTCATGTAATGATCACTTTGCTTGATTACTAAATTGAGGGTATCAGTTGTGGTAACTAAATGAGGACTACATGTATTCTGATACATTACTGATATTATTATTTTGGATTTAACTTTGTTACGATTATATTTTAGCATTGTGCATGAACAGCATGTATTAAGTTGCATCTTGTACCACAAGATCTTCCAACTTTGTCATTCTGTGATTCTATATCTACATGAATTAATTAGGTTTTGTAATACTCTGATAACATTTAAGTACACGGAGATGATACAGTATGATATATTGATTTTGTTTTAGTTTCTTGATTGAAGGATTAGGGATTGATCAAATCATCTGGTTGTGGTAATTGTATTCAGGTTGCCAGTACTTTCTGATGAGATAGAGCCCTGAAATAAACATGCAAAATATTTTTGTTAACAAAAAAAAAATGTATACACTTTTCAGAATGAAAGATACTAAAATAATTAGTGTCTTATCATGTTAACTGGAAAGCTAAAATTAGATACATAGATAGCATATCTGTATAATTCTTCCTGGAAACAAGGACCTGGAATGTGTCCTTAACGCTATCAGTTCTTGAATGCAGAACTCCAAAGGACCACTAGAGGGCAACACAGGGACACTGAAAATGCTCTGTTGTCATGCAGTGGTGGTTTAGATTTTGGCAGCCAAATGTCTGCTAAATGTTTGTCAGCCCTTTATGGCCATTCTAAATAATTCCTCTGAATTTAGGGCTAAATGAACTTCTAATCTAATCAACTTCTCTGATAGAGTGGGTTTTCTGGGGAAAAAAAACAACCAGAAATTTTTCCAATACCTTTGGAATTTTTAGTGAGCATTTTTAGTAAGCAAAGCTATTGTACACTGTGTTTTATATGATGCCTAACTATTTTATAACTTTTCTCCAATAGAATTAAGTCCACTTCATTTAGGTTTAAAAGTGATACAAATTCAACAGCTTACTTGTCTGAATTTAATAAATAAATAATACCAAAGGAGATGTGATATACTTATATAAGCATAATTTAGGTAAAATCTGAAAAAAGGTGTTTGAAGCAATCTAATTGTTATAAGCATTATAATTTTATTAAAATGAAAAAAAATATTTCTATAAAATAGAAACTCTTCCATAGAAAAAGTAAGCAATGAAAATTTATTTCACATTATTATCAGGTTTCCTTAGTTGGAGAGGAGTCAACCTAATTTGCAAATCTGGATTACCACTTCCTATAGTTATTTGAACTGAAATAATGGTTTTTGATCTTAGGTGTGAAAATGTTAGAAATTAGGTTTTGCATTAAAACAGTTGTTTTTAGCCAGAATTGCAATGAGTCATGCATGTGGAATTATATTAGAGATTTTATTCTTCTTCGTTCATGGAAAAATTTAGAAGAAAACTATTAATAAAAGTAGGCTTCTTGTTCTGGTAGGCAGTTTTTCTACTATTTATTATTATGAATCATGAAAATCAGATTTATTGAGATTTAATTAAAATGTGATTTACTAGATCAAGATTATTTTTCTATTTATATTAATGAAATTATTTGCGAGATAGATGATTTGCAAACATTTTATACATTTACATTTTTTAAAATATACATTTTATATTTTAGGTGTATTCATAACTTTTCTGCATTAGAAGCTGTATTAATCCTTTTAACTTGGTGTAAGATGCCAATGGAATAAAAACTTGAAGTGTAATATATGCAAAACTGGAATAGAAGGTGGCAACATATTGCAATATTTTCTGCTCCGTTTGAATTTTCTATAAAACTAAAAACTGCTCATTATTCCAGGAAACGCTATGACTTTTTTCACAATTATTTTTAATGGCCTTCTGAGGCCTTGTAATTGAATAGGTACGTAATTTCATTAAGAGCTTTTTCATGATTATTCCTTTTTATAAATCTAGAAGTTCAAAGCTACGCAATGAATAAATGGAACCTCTGTGTGTTTTCATTTTCGGCTAGAAGACAAGGCCACCGTTATTAATATAGTATTTACAGTTTTTAAACATATCCTGAAGTAAAGACATTTAAACATTCAGCTATGGTCATTCTCATTGAAGTAGTAATTATTCTCATAGGTTGTCATGTCAGGAAAACCAGGAAACTGTTGTTTCCTGCTGATCAGCTGATCAGAGAAGGAAACAGAAGAAGAATATTTGTGATAGAAGTTGTATGCTAGGCCGAAACCATGTTTAAAGTTGTGCTTGCTGGGAA